AAGCAGGTCAATAGTAGAAAATAGAGCTTTTTTTAAACTTAAAATAATAAATCAATCAACAACCACAACCTGCCTATTAGAAATATTTAAAAGCTAAAATAAACTTGTGCTAAAGCATAAAAAAAAGTAAAACACTTAATTTTTACTTACCTTACAGTAAAAGTAATAACTTTTCTTCTTTTTCTTAGACATTATTTTCACACACTTAATACTTTTAAAGTAGGTTATTAACTTGTCCTTTAGCATTCCCTATCACTATTTATTACATATACATTAAAACATAAAAAACCCAACTCCTCTACCTAACAAAGAAACCATCTTTCTCTCCTGCTTTATATCATGTGTCCTGACCCTCCCTGTTTAATCTCACCTGCTCCACACCTGTGTTCTGGTCCTCCCTCCCTGCATGTTGCACACCTGGGATACACAGATAAGCTTTACTTACCAACTTTCCAACCTCACAGCTGGAAAATTAAAGCATGGAATTTCACTGGCAGGTTTGTCAGAGGAAGCAGAATAAAACCCAGCATTCTGGGCTGCTTTGGGGGTGTGTTTTTTTCCTTATTTGGAGGAGCCTGAGCTGTTCAGGTAAGAAGATAGTTCTTGTTTGCTATTTGGTGCCTCTGAGTTGTGTTTGAGTAGTTTGTAATGTTGTAGTTGATAGAATGCAGAGTAAAAGTAATTTTACAAAAGCAATTAATGTTTTTGGTGTTAATGGAAATAAAACCTTGTTTCTTCTGACCTGGTTTGCTTACTACTATAAAGTTACTAGCACAAGGTAAGTAGTTTGTTTCACTTGTTACTTAATTCTTGTTGTATTAACTTCAACTAAATGATTTAAAACACTTTTTGTGTGTGCACATAACTCGTTTTTTGTTCCTCAAAATATCAATGTAGAGTATAGTTATAGGCTTACATAAAAGATAAGAGTATCCAAAAGAAAGTAGTAAGTGTATTTTCTTGTAGAACAAACATAAATGTTGGTGTGACAAGCTGTGTGGACATAATAGCTGGAGCTCTTGAGTTGTTTGCTTTTTTGAGATACTTTTACTGACAGTGAGAGTGCTAAAGCTTGTTCAAGTGAGACTTCTCACTAATATTAAATAGCTAATAGTGTTCTTCTTATCAATTATTGAAGTCTTCTTGAGAAATGAGAGCTTCTTAAACAATAACTAGTAAGTAAGTCAGTATTTGATCCCTGATGTAGCATGAAGCAACCTTCCCACCAGTGCTTCCTGTGAAAAGAAATCTGTGTGAAGGGTTTTATTTTCTATCCTAATAACTTCTGGTGTCTCTTCTGAGTTTTCTTGTTGAGAGGAGGGTTTGCTTGTGTGATTTGCCTTGCCCTTGTTTTTAGTTGCACAGATGAAAGCTGAACAGAGTGTGGATTTGCTCATGAGATTCCAAGTGCTCATCTGGCTCTCCTGGTGAGTGAAGCCTGTTCTACTGGCTGTGTCAATAAACCACCTGAGTCATTTATACTGGGTGAGAGAAGTTTGTACTGGAAGTCTTAGAGAACAGATAATAAGATACAACACAAGAAGGTAGCTGAGCAGCAGGAGCTCTGTGTTGCTGCTGTGTAATAAGAGTTCTGAAAGAAAAGATGGTTTCTAGATGTGCTTTGGGTGCTGGGGCTGTTAGAGCTGCTTTTGCTTGGCATGTGCAGCACCCTGTGGTGTTGGGAAGGTAAGTGTGCAGCTCTGCAGCAGTGGGAGGCAGCTGCACCTCAAGGAGCTGCTTCCATGGAGCAGTAAGGGCAAGGTGAAAGGAACAACCTGGTAAAAATAGGATTTAGAGGAAGGATCCTCCACAGACACAAGCTGAGGTGTGGGAACAAGCTAGTGAGTGCTGGGCAGGCTCCTGAGTGTGTTTTACTGCAAGGGGTTACTTATACAAACGTGAAAGCAGCTGAAACTGAGATAGAACCAGGGAAGACCATAAAAAAAAGCTGGTTTGTGGCCCACAGGGGTGTTTGTACACAGCTGTTTTAACCTGCACCTACTCAGGACAGTCAGGGTTTGTCAGCAGCAGTACAGGAACCCTGAAAGTCCAACTCAGTGAAGTTTTCTTATGAAATCCTTTTCCTTTATGCTTATGTCAAATATCAGCTTCCCTCATTCTCTCTTCTCCCTGCCGAGAAGCCCATGATCTCTCTCCTGTGCTGGGCTAGCAGTGACCAGTACCAGGTGAAGGTGTTCCCAGCCTACTAGAAGAATTTGCCCTTTCTGGCAAAACCCTGTGCTGCAGCTGGGACCTCTTGCCCCAAACCCAGTCAGCAAAGATCTGGAGCAGATGTGCTGCTGTGAGTGGCCTGGGTGCCCTTATATGTAGCTGCACCAGTGCTTCCCAGCCTGTGACTGGAGCCGTTATGCAAACAAGTGCCATAATAGGTATGAACACCAGAGGGAGAATCCCACGAACCCCAAGTACCTTGCTTTTGAGGAGCTCCCTGAAGAGACTCAATGGAATGTGAGAAGGGGCTGTGAACGCCTTGTCTGAGATAATAAAGAGGAGATTTTGCACGCACGGCCTCCCCTCTCATTCCACACCCCCCTTCTCCTCTGCCAATGTTCCTCAAGCATCCCAGCCCTGCAGATTTCCTGGGAAGCTGGGCAGTGAGTGCAGGGTGACAGGGCTTCTCTCTGTCTTGGTTTCTGATGCACTGAATCTATTAAAGCAGCATGGTGGGTATTTACAGCCCAGCTTGGGACATCTTCTGTCAGACTGGTAATGCAGAGAGACAAGCTCAGTGCTGCTTGGCTTCCAAAGAGTGGGGGAAGGGATTAAATGCACTTTTCTCCATTGATTTCTGTCCTGCACTGAAAATCAATGATGTTCTCTCAGATCCACTGAACTGTTTGAAAACCAGCAGCTTGTTTTGCCAAGTGTGCGTGGAAAAGTTCTGAAGGAATTGGGTCTTATGATTTGGGGAGATGGGATATACACAGTGTGGACACTGTTATGTTGACTGGATAATGGTGGGGTTTGAATCTTCAGTCTATCTTAGTTGAATATGATGATGAAACTGTTTTCAATTTTATAGAGAACAGCTGTTTTGGAGAGGTGGAACTAAAGGCTGCTTTTGTTTCCCTCTGAGGTTGGGAGGAGCAAATGAAACTTTAATGAAATGGGATGCAGGAAGATAATTTTTATCTGTTAATTGCTCTCTGGGATCTTCCTGAATCTAGGATCTGATTTTGTCCCAGGTAGTTGCTTCTTGTCTTCCAGTAAATGCTTGAACAGCCTGTAGTTTAGTGAAGAGCTGAGGTACTGAATTCCAGCAGAGCTAAGCCAAGTGTCCCTCGTTGCTCACTTCATCAAGGCTGCTGCTTTTATCTTCATCCCTGAAGAGGGGGAGCAGGATTATGTCCCTGACTGTACAAGGGAGGTGTAAAGAAACTAGATGTGGGTGGGGTTTCACAAGAGCTGAAGAGCCTGAAACTAGAACCTGAGGTCTCAAACCCCAGGCTGGCAGCCTGGCATGTGGCCTCTTTTTCTCTTCTAAATACTTCCAGGAGTATTCCTAAAGGAAAGGTTTTTTGTCTCCCAAATTTTGCCCTTGACCCCAAGTTGCACAAGATGGGTAAACTTATTTGATTTGCAGACAGCTGTGTATGATGGACTTCTCTTTGAGTATGGCTGTTTGTTTAGAAAAACAAGCAGTTGCTGCTTCTGTAGAAGCATTTCAGCAAATTGAAACTAATCAGCTGGGGTCCTGGTGCCTTTAGAGCTGTGGCAGCACCTGGGTCAGCACAGAATGGCCACTTACTCAGCTTCTTGGGTGGCTCTAAAGCCACTGTAGAGTTTTAGGTGAGGAGTGTTCTTGTTTATGCCCAAGCTGAGAGTATTTTGCTCTTTTGAAAAGCAGGTCTGTCCAGGGGCACGTGGACATCCACATGGAAGCAGGACCTGTGTGTGTTTATTTAGTCCAACAGAGCAGTTGTGTCCATGCAGGCTTGTGAGCTGTCCCTGTCTCCATGGCCTTGCTGGGAGCAGCATGATCTGTGTGTTTTACTGAAGAGTAGAAAAGCTTAGTTCTGGCTGATTCAATAGATGGTCAAACTCATCTCCTGTCAACACTTCTCTCCACCATGTTTGAGTCTGGGAGCTTTGTCTTCGTTGCTGTGATGGCAGAATTGGAATGGAGCATCTGAGCATCTTTTAACTTGCTGCCTGCACTAGAGTGAAGCAGAACACGGGTTGTGAAGGTGTCTCAGGCTGACTTAAAATGGCTTTTGGGAAGGAGTGACAAGTTGCATCCCAAGCAGTCACTAAATGTTGACAACCAGTGTCTGCTCCGTTTGGCTTTTTCATCAGTGAAGACGCAAAATGCAAAGTTAAATCAATTTTTAGGAATCTTTTCCTCTCCTGTGAAGTCCAAACAACGAAGCAAAAGGAGAAAACATTGCAGTAAGACTTAAAGCTTTATTTCTGCCATTCACCAGCTATGAAAGGGAATAAAGCTAACATACACATGCGAGGGTGTTTATCATTCTGCAGAGCATGTGTGCTGCTTTTCCAAGAGTCTCTCCAGCCCTTGAGTGATGAATCTGATTTTTTTTTTTTTTCCATGCTGGATTTTTGCTGCCTCCGAACTTAACTGTTTGGACACCAGAGAAATCCTCCTGGTTCTCCTTGGAAAGTAAATCTATCTGTATTTTTGCTAGAAATGAGCTCTACCTCACCCACATGACTGGTCTTCACTATTAATCCCAGCTGATGGCAGGGAGGGGCTCTTCTGGGAGGCAGCCATGTGGTGAACATTGAGCACAGTGTTTTCTCCTGCTTCTCTCCTTTTCAGACAAGCAAAAATCTTCCCTGCTGCCGTAGATCTGAACTCCTTTCTGCCCTGCCTGTCTCTTCTTTTCCAGCAACTCCAGGGCCTGAATGACCAGCTGCAGATACCTGAGAACTGCCACCAAATCCGGATGGAATAAGGACGAGGAGATGAAGAGCAGAAGGGAAGAAAGAGTGAAGTTGGTTATTTTTCTGGCACATGGATGCAATTACAGTGGGCGCATTCCAGAGGCGTTCCTTTGAATCCTGTGCAGGTCTGCCTGCTGTTCCTGGGAGAAAGGAAGAAAAAGGGAGGAAAAGTCCCTCTTGCTTGGAGACGGAATGTCTGCTCTTTCCATTCTCTTTTTAGGTAGGTTGCTTTTTGGCTTTGTTTAGTGCTCGAACTTAACTGTTTGGACACCAGAGAAATCCTCCTGGTTCTCCTTGGAAAGTAAATCTATCTGTATTTTTGCTAGAAATGAGCTCTACCTCACCCACATGACTGGTCTTCACTATTAATCCCAGCTGATGGCAGGGAGGGGCTCTTCTGGGAGGCAGCCATGTGGTGAACATTGAGCACAGTGTTTTCTCCTGCTTCTCTCCTTTTCAGACAAGCAAAAATCTTCCCTGCTGCCGTAGATCTGAACTCCTTTCTGCCCTGCCTGTCTCTTCTTTTCCAGCAACTCCAGGGCCTGAATGACCAGCTGCAGATACCTGAGAACTGCCACCAAATCCGGATGGAATAAGGACGAGGAGATGAAGAGCAGAAGGGAAGAAAGAGTGAAGTTGGTTATTTTTCTGGCACATGGATGCAATTACAGTGGGCGCATTCCAGAGGCGTTCCTTTGAATCCTGTGCAGGTCTGCCTGCTGTTCCTGGGAGAAAGGAAGAAAAAGGGAGGAAAAGTCCCTCTTGCTTGGAGACGGAATGTCTGCTCTTTCCATTCTCTTTTTAGGTAGGTTGCTTTTTGGCTTTGTTTAGTGCTTTTAATCTTCCAAGCGTCCTCTCTTCAGGACTGAGATTCGTTTCTGATGAGAAAGGGATGTGGGAAGAAAAACTTTTATGGTAAACTCCAGTTTTAGTGTTTGGGTTCTGTTTTTCTTGTCGTTTAATTTGTTAGACAGATACCCAGAGATGTTTTAATAGCTGGATTAATTTTTTTACAAGTGATGTTTAAACAGACTCCTTTTGAAATGTATGTTTCTTGTTTAGAGAGCAGCGGTTTTAAGCAATGAACTAGAGAGGGGCTTGAACCTCTGGCAAAACAAGGTGAACAAAATGTCTTTGTTTCGGGAATAGTGTCGAATTTGTTGAACTGTTTTGATTTGCTTGGGCATTTAACCTTCAGATTTGAAAAGAAAAAGGCATTGTTTCCAATTGATGCCTCTAAGATTAGAAACAGATGTGTTGAAGTGCGAGAGGGAGGAGTTGGGGAGGAAAAGGATGAGAGAAGGGGCATAAAGGGGGAACGCAAGAAGTGGGAAGAAAGAGGGCTGCTGAGAGGAGGGGAAGAGGTAGAGATTGAGAGTGGAGGAAAGAGGAGCAAAGAATGGGAAAGAGACATTAAAGGAAGGGGAGAGTGAGGGCTGAAGGGAGCAGTTTGTTAAAGCTGTAGCCTGTGGAGAAAAGAGTTTGCAGCCTTGAGGTCTTTGAGGGGACTTGCCCACAAGACTAAATCAGAAGCAGCCAAGGTTTCTGCATCTCCAGAGACACCATTACGTGATGAGTGAGCTTCTGTCTCTGTCCTGCTCACCAGATTGTGCTGACAGGCAGACAGCTTTGAAATCTGGTGTGGCTGGGCAAAAGCTGTGGTGTCTGGGTCCTCTTCTCCTCTAGAAACCTGGGTGCAGGTGAGAGAAAGCAAGCTGGTCCTTGATTCCCTGGGAAGAGTTGAGCCCCACAGGGTAGTGGTCTCATGTGGCTGGGCATGGGTAGAACAGATTTTGAACAGATATGAAGAAAAGCTGCAGGGGACAGCTTTGTTCCTTAAGTTTCACAGGTGAGGAACATGGACTAGGCAGATTTCTAGGTATCTGAAAGAGGCAGCATTTATAGAGCTGCTGAATATGTGGTAGAAAAAGGTTTTTGCTGGAGGGATTGCTGCTAGCAAAGGTTTTATCTGTAGGAGTGTGGGGAGTGCTTGAACAGGTTATAGGATCTGCAGGGGAGGGCAGGTGGGTCTTTGTGTCCCCTGCTCATCTGCCTTGGCTGCTGGTGCCTCAAGATGTTTGAAGAAAACTCCAGGAGGTGAGGCAGCAAGGTTGGGATGAGCAGTTAGGTTTCTTACAGGGGTGTCTGGGCTGGGTCAGCCCTGCAGAAGTTGCCAAGAAAGAAAATCAGGAGATAAAAAGTCAGGAGATACAGGTATATTGCTTGCCTTGCTGATGGAGACAACGGGGAAACTGCAGCTGATCAACCCACCCTGTTCAGCTGCTTAATATTCCTGTATGTTGAAAGGGTGGAGTTAAAAGGAGTAAGTTGTTGCCAAAGAAAAGGTGCTTTAGGCTGTAATGTAATGACAATTTAACTTTGCACGAGTAGTGCTGCTTTTATCTGTAAAAAGCATCATCTCTGCTTTGCTAGTAACAGACACAAAACAAGAGTCTCTGTCCTCACCTACAAATTGAGTTTCTCAGCCTGTGTGAGTTGTCCAGGCACAGGAGAGGGAAGGACAAGTAGCTTCCCAAAGCTCACAGCAAAACCTGGAATGGTTGGTTTCCTGGTACAACATCAGCTGTACAACTGCCCCTTGTCTTGCCTGTGCTTTACCTGCTTTGTCAACGGATAACGGATAAAGACCACTTTCTGCTCTGTTTCTAGTAGAAGTATGTTCCAGGGGAAAGTAAGGAAATTCCTTGCTCTTAAATCATTCTGAAGCTTGGGAGTCTTATTTGCTAGGTAGAGAAAATGTGATTTGTTATTCTGCAGTATAAGTGCCAATGATGCCTGGCTTTTCTTGCTGAAAAACTAGTGTGGAAAAAAAGACAAGAGAGCCAAGCAAACTTGAAGATTGCCTGGGTTGGGATTTCATTATTAAACATACTAATAGCATGGCTAATATAAACAGTCTGTCTCTTACAATATTTGCTTCTCTGGGGCAAGTGAAAAGCTGTGTGAGGATCCAGGAAGCAGGAGCCAATTAATTTGGAGGATACTTTTAAACCAAGCTGAAAGGTTTTCTTAGGTTTGGACAAGAGCATGATTAACTCTTGCTAATAAAGGCTGAGTAGATGAAGCAGGAAGGAGTGAGGAGTGGAAGGTGATGCAAGCTTGTGTGACATCTGACTCTCAGCTCAGTCCACAGCTGGTCAGAGTTGTTTCAATCTCCTGGTGTAACACATTGCACACTTAAAAATCAAAATGGAAATTTCCAAGGGAAATATCTGTGATTCTTCTCTTCTGAGTGTAAAAACTTCATGAAAGGATGTTGCCTTTCTCAGCCAGCAAGAAAGTAGCAAATGCTTTCATTAAAATATTTTGTTTAATTGCTTTAAATTTTTAGGTGCTGGGAGCTTCCTTTGCCTTTCTCACTCCCTACTTTTTTTTGTAATCAAATATGTTCACATGGTTAATATGTGTATCCCTGGCTTTGACAGGGGTGTGACATGCTTTTCCTTCACTGGCTGCCTGGTGTGTGTGCTCTGCCCTTCAGCAACTGAAGGGCTCAAGATCCAAGGCAGTAGGTGTGTGCAGGCAGCTCAGTCCTACACCTTTCTGGTGTCCTGCTGTTGGCAGGAAACCTGTACAGCAGTGTCAGGGGCTGCTCACCACCATGCACACCGAGTCTGGCTCATGATTGCCTCAGATGTGTTCAGTGTCACAATCAGTAAGTTCTACAGGGGTGATGTTGTTGGAGTGGGTGCAGCTCTAACAGCACAAGTAGTTTTTATGCTGATGGAGCAGAGCTCTGCCCTCCAAGCTGGGAGGTCCGTGTCTCTGCTACAGCCTGTCCCAGGGGGATGCACTTGCTGCATCAAACACCAAGGCTCTGATTGTCTCACTGCACTGGGAAAAGGTTATGGTGCAGATCCCCCCCAGTGCCTGATGTTGGCATGAAGCAATCAGGTCTGACAGGGTGCATTGCCTAGGTAGTCACCAGACTTCCAGCTTGAAAATCTGTGATGCTGATCTGGGAGCAGCTCTGCAGCACTCAGCAGTGGCAGGGCAGCCTGGGGCTCTGCTCAGGATACTGACTCTGCCCTTCTCTCCTGCTGGGAGAGCACAGGCAACCTGCAGTGTGTCCTGCTGCATCTCCTTGAGATCCTGCTCCTGAAACCCTGCTGGTGCTTCAGCAAAGCCAGTGTTTAAAGGAAACCAGCACTCCCAGCGTGCTTACTGGGAAGTTTTACTTATGAATTGAATGATTCTGCCTGAAACAAGTAAAAAACCAGGGAGACTGTTTTAAGCAACCTGAAAACTAAACTGGTGAATTTATTTCTGTTCATTTTCCAGGTATTTCCCAAATTTCTTGGTGCTAATTACCAGTATATAACACACTTGTTATTTCCTAGTTTTCTCGTGGCTCCTTCTCTGTTGCCTTTGCCTGTTTGTTTCATGGTGGACTTAGAAGCTTGGTGGGTTGAAGGTTTTGCCCTGTGTTTTACCTCTTGTCCCAAACACAACTTCATGCAGTTGACAACTCATTTCTGTCATGAAAACTCCAAAAGCAGTCAACAAAACCTCAAGCCTGTGCAAGATTCAGCCTGTTACAGTGGTGTGAATTTAGTTCTAGGACAGGGGAAAGAGCTCTTTAATAGAACACCACTTTAGGAATACCTAAGGGAAAGGAGCAAGAAAAAGCAGAGTATCCATTTGGCACTCCAGGGGGAATTCAAAGGAGCTAGACATAATTAAGTGAGTTGCTATCTGGCAGGATATCAGGGTTAACACTCCTTGTGAGACACTAAAATTCTTCTAAAGCCAGCAATGCTTTGCATCAAGTATTTCCTGTCAAGACACTTGATAAGAAATGGCCTATTTTCTTCTAATAGTGCTTTGTTTTATGAAATAGTTTGGATTTTTAGCATCTAAAGTTTACTTGGGATTTCTGTTTATCTTTTTTCTTCATTTTAAGATGAAGAGGGGTGAAAATAAAAGTAACCTTGCAGAGTGAGGGGAAAGCAGCAGCAAAGCTGAGTTGAAACACTGGAGATAAATGAATTTCATGGGAAGTGGAGCTGGTTGGGAGTCAGCTTTTCTGAATTTCCCATGGAAAAGTGGTGGTTTGCCTTTGTGCCCACCCTGAACCTTGTCTCCTCCATGTAGAATTAGTGGTCTGTCTGTGGGGTTCTCTGGCCCACTTCAGAGGGATGTGTTTTTTGCAAGAGCAGCAGAAGCTTCCCAGAAATGTCATTGCACAACTGGCTTGGAGAGATCCTGATGTTTATCCTCAAGATCACAACAAATGCCCCTGTCTTCCTCAAGGCAAATACAGGGCTTTGTAGGAACCTTAGAGCAGATTTGCAGTCTGGGATTTGTTTGAGTTTTTGGGAACTGTCCGAGAAGAAATGGAACAGTCACTGACAGAGCCTTGTGTGTAATTAAAATGGTCTGTGTGTGTTTGCTGCACTGTGCTAAATGATTGCAAGTGTGTCTGGTACAAATGCAGCAGGGTGCTGCAAGCTGCTTTCTGGGCCTCTTCTCTTCAAAAATAGTCCCCAAAGCCTTAAACTAAACCTCATATTTCCAGCTCACTCCCCTGTGTTAGCCAAGACACTCAACATTGCTTGTGCATCAAATATATCTCAGGCACTTGCAGAGAAATTCTGGCTGATGTGCACACAATATTGTGCATGTTTTGTGTGCACTAAAGTGTCATAAGAGGCTGCTTTGGGTGCAGCAGGACCTTGGTGGTGCCCTGTCTAAAAGATGAATGGGTCTATATCTTTTTTTTTTTTTCCCTAAAGCTGTTGCATCTGTTTATAGAAATGGTTGGTTTACAAAAGCAGCCCAGCA